TTCCTCTCAGGTGGGACTTCAGGGCCACTGAGGCGGATATAATGCAGGTGGTGGAGGATCTCAGCGGTGACCTGGGCGTTCCAGACAACTTCAGCCGCACCGTGCCTCCATACGACCCCAGCCGCCCGCAGCCCGGCGCTCCCCCAAGCTACAACACCAACCCACAGACGACGGAGCTCTGCGCCAAGCTGGGCCTCACAGACATCTACTCTAAGGCTGGGCAGCGAGGCGATGACACGGGCAGGTCTCAGAGCCGCACCGGAGACGACGACGAGGAGGAGGAAGAAAATGATGAACCCAGCGAGTATCCCACTGATACCTCTGGCTTGTCAAGTTCTTTTAACCCTGATGAGATCACCATCGAGGATGAGTGGGAGGAGGAGGACGAAGAGGCCGGCGGCGAGTCAAAGGCGAAGGAGAAGCCAGACTCGCCGTCTGCCATCAAAACCCCAAATCGGATGGTTCTCCCTGAGCCCATATCAGGTGCCTCCCCCTCGCTCCGCACCTCCCTGATGAACCTGCCTCCTCCCTCCCACTCCACCCCCAAAGCTGCTCCGGCTCAGGTGCACCCGGATCAGGAAGGACGGTGCGACGACACCGAAGAGGTCGCTGCTGCTCCCATCCTGAAACGGAGCAGCGGCGAGAGCGCCGAGGCGGGCAGCAGAGGCGCGACTCCACGAATCAAACGCAGGAACCAGGTCATTTACCAGACCACGGACAACGACGAGGGTTAGCGCCCTGCAAACCGGTGGTTCTTTTTATGGGTTTTTTTAAACGAGGCCATTTTAAAAAACATGATTTGGATTTATTTTGTATCGGACATTTCTGATTTATAACATGGATTAAAGAAGATGAATGTTTTTTTTTTTTTTCTAAATTAATAACATGAGCCTTTTGTAAAAAAAAAAACTAAAACATGACATTTTTAAACACAGCTGCTTATTGGATACAGGATATTTATAATTAAAGCAAAGGCCTCACAGATAAATGTCTGTAACTAAAGCTCTGATGGAAATTATTATGCAATAGCTCATCAACCTCACCTCATGTGGAAAAATAAACTTCCAGACACTGAATAATGCATCCGGTAAAACTGGTTTAAATCTGTCTATTGAGCTTTGAAATAAAAAGGAAAACAAATCAACCATTTAGCTTTTATTCCTTCTGTATATTTAAACACAGAGTGTCTCCTACTACTTTTATAAAATCACAATCCAATCGGTTCCTTTAAACCATTTCTTCTCAGGTAAAGGCCTGTGTTGCCATGACTACAGATCCAGTTTGCTCTGAGATCATCAGGTGGGGTTTGTGTCCCCATTTGGGAGCTTTTTTTGTTTTTAAGGAGGTAAAGCTTGTTTTTAATCCACCATAACACAGAAATTAGACCATCCACTTCTGGGAATCAAAGCAAGTGTCCTAAAATCTTCATATAATTCCAATAAATGCTAGTTATATTCCTCTGTTTAGCTTTTTTACAAACTAATGGTGGCAATTTTCACATTTTTACTAAAGAGAAAATTACTGATTCATATTTTCAGTGTTAAAGCTCTTTCATATTGTATCCATGGTTAATCAAAGCTGAGTTCTGATTGGTTGGTCGGTACCCTTCTGTGCGCCGCCTCATGCTAGCATGTCAGGTCATTATTTACCAGCTAATGCTAATGTTTTTTGTTCTGTTTGTATTCAGTAATTTAGTAAGCAAGATTGAACATTTTTGACTGAGTAAAATATAAACATTATGAAAAAAACAAAACAGTGAATTTTGTAAAATTGTACATGATCTGAGGCTTTAGAAAATTATGCGTTCATTTAGAAACATTTGAAAAAGAGATTTAACTAGAAATTCCCAGTGGTAAATGTTATTCAGTAATATGCATCTATTAAGATGTTTTTTATTTTACTATCATGTAAAAATACACTAAATTTATTATATTTTTGAAATGATGAGAAAAACAGAGTTTAAACGAATTCCATCTGGCTCTTAATTAGTTACATTTAAGAAATAAATGTTCAGCATTTTCCACTTCAGTCACAAAATGTAAAAAAGTTTTTATTAATAATGAAACTTTACCAAAACTATTAATTACAACTATAAATGTTTAAGAACTTTGACAATGATTTCTTTCATCTTTGGTTGAATTGGAAGTTAAAGATCTTTAGATATTTTTAAATTGTGTTTCAGTTAGAAAGTTGTTTAGGATGTTATTTCTTTTAAATGGAAGCTTGATGATGCATTTCTTATTTTCTGTTTTTTTCTAATTATATTTTATGTTTAGTGAAGGAAATCTGGCTGCAATGAAACCATATTTACCAATTCCAATGGGATTCCTGTGCAACAGGGATATTTTCCAGTTTGTGTAATTAGTGATTTAGAATCTATAATGTGAAATAGACCAAATACCCCTTTTCACCCACACATCTTGATCATGATTTTTTTTTCATGAATATGTTTTAATTGTTCCAGTGAGTTATCAGTGGTAACAATGTGATTGAAATACATTTTTCTAATTTGATAGAAACTGTTGATGAGATTTAGACAATTTAATCAGAAACCTACAAAGAGAAAAGTCATATGCTAATAGAAATTAACTGCTACAGAAAAATAATTTAGCTGGAAGATAAAAAGCTATGTATATTGTTTTTTACATTTTACATTGTAACTATTTTAAATTTACCAAGATAGTGTCCCATTAAAAGCTTCAAAAATCAGTCAGCAGGTTTATCAGCGTAATTTTTCCTGATATACCAGCTAACGTTAGCGGAGAGGCTAATTGCTAGCTATTTCCTCACTATTAGCTAATGTTATTAATGGCTAATATGCAAATGGGAACATCTTTTCTAGATGGAGCTAATTTTCAAATGTGATACTAGCTAAAGTTAGCAAATAATACCTGACATGCTAAGTTAGCATAGCAGTAATATTGAGCTAATGTCTTTAGGAGGGATTCTGTGAGATTCAGATTGTTTAAAACAAGATTTTATTGTCCAACTTTCTGAGACAGAACCTGCTTTTATTGTATATTTCCAACAGTTTTTTTTTTTTTTTTTATCAAAACTTCTCATATGTTTAAAGGAATAATCAATGGATCATTATCTATACCTAAAACTAATACGTTTGCGGTGATTTAATGAATTTAGCATTAATCAGTAAAAAAATAAAAACAATTTTCGTCGCGATCACTGAGTCTGGGAGCGGCCATTTTTGCCCAAAAATAGTAACACCTCCCGCCATCTTCCTGTGTAGGTACCAGATCTGCCCGGGGCCCCGCCCCTTCTTATGACGTCAACATATGGCAACTCCACTCGCACCAGTTTCTTAAGGATCAAATCTCTTTTGGAGTCTCAACATATTACCTATATTTGCTATTATCCATCCATCCATTATCTGACACACTTGTCCCAATTGGGGTCGCGAGGGGTGCTGGTACCTATCTCCAACAGTCAATGGGCCAGAGGCGGGGTACACCCTGGACAGGTCGCCAGTCCATCGCAGGGCAACACAGAGACAAACCACCATTCACATCTAAGGAGAATTTAGAGAAACAGTCATGTTTTTGGACTGTGGGAGGAAGCCGGAGTACCAGGAGAGAACCCACGCAGGCTTAGGGAGAACAGGCAAACTCCATGCAGAAAGACCGGGCCGGGAATTGAACCCAGAACCTTCTTGCTGCAAGGCAGCAGTACTGCCAACCGTGCCACTGAGCAACCCATTTGCTATTATTTTACATTTCACTGGCGATATAAAGTAGACGAAAGTAAAAAAAAAAATAAATAAATAAAAATCATTTGTCAGTCTTGAAGGAAAGTACTGCGTTCTAAGACTGAGCTCTGCATTTTCAAAGTGACAAAAGTCTCTGCTTATTTTTATTCTTTTTAATAAGATCTTAGATCAGGGAAGGACAAATGGAACATCTTAATAAATGACTTTCGTAGAGATTTTGGACAAATAAAACTGTTGCTCTACTTGTAGAAAATGGTTGGTCGTTGGCAAGCTAAAAGAGGCTAACCTGTTAGCTACTGAGCACAGCTAGCCACAGCGCTACCCAGCTCTCCCCCTTTATATCATGGTCTAACAGTTACTTAGTTCACCAGAAACTGATTTTTTTTTTTTTTTGTTATCGATCCGGTAAAACTTCATCTGTCATTACGCTAACGCTACAGTTGCCCCCGACTCGCCACACTGACGCGGCGGGATGTTATTGTCTGTGCAACCACAATGTTTTACAT